TTCAGACAGCCTCTCACTGTACGTTGAATTGCTGACACTCAGGGCTTTAAAGCATGAATTCAGCTGACATCGCTATTGCATCAGGTGACTGACAAATTGGCAGCAGCACCCAGCTGCTACTTTTGGCCTGGGAAATGAAGATCTAACATGAAGACCGGTTAAAGGGATCAATGGGTTGACTCAGTATAAATGCAGCTTCTTGTCATGTCCCAGTATTGAGAAGCATATGTGTGAAGCCCAACTTCATTTCATTATATTATATATTTTATTATAAAAAATCACATATTACATTTGGATCTTATTCCTCCAAGGAACTTGATAATTTTTCATCACCACCACCATTCCTGAACTGCTGGAGACCTCTGAGAAATAGGCAGGTCCTCTCACTGGCAATAGTGCCGACTGACTCCATGGCAGACCAATAAGCCTCCTGAGGTCACACATTTGGTGAACCCAATACTGACTGTCTTGTGCACTTGTCCCTCACCCATCAAAATAGCTCCCAGGACCAGATTCACTGACATGACTCCCTGCAACATTGGAGGTGATTTAAAAAATAATAATAATCCAGAATGATTCTACATGTGTGAGCTGGTGGGCAAATAAATTTTCCTGCTTCTGGGGAAACATTGCAGGCTGGCAACAGGTGAAACCTCTCTGGGGATGGCATTTCATTTATGGGGTGTCATTGGTAGCATCATGTTTGGGTTGGCTCAAACATTTGCCCCATCCTCCCATCAAAGGCCTTTAAATCCTCTGAGATCCTCTCCTACCTTCCACAGTGGAGATTGTCCCTTCTGAGCAAGGAGCACAATCATAGCAGCACACTGGTTTTCCTTCCTGAATCTTCTTGGCATATCCCGGGAGACAGCTTTCTGTGCATCTTGAGCGAGGCACAGCCTAGGTATAAAGAGAAGATTCAGCACTAAGGAGAAAATATTAGTAATATTTCTGCCTTTGGTCACAGATCATAAGACAGGGAACTAACCATGACCTTACTGTGGGAGTCTGATTTAGACTTTCAAGCTAGACTGGAGAATTAGGTGCTGCCTTTCAAGAGCAGATGACCAAACATTCAAAAAGGATATAGTAGTCATGGGCGGCTTCAACTAGCCCAATATCTGTCAGGAATGAGCCAGCTCCTAGTGGAACTTTACAGCCAGATGCAGAACAGAGAGGTTTAGAATTGATGCAGGCTGAACAATGGCCAGCTTCAACTCCCCCGCCCCTTGGAATGCCTGTTGCCAAGGGAACAACTGAGAGCAGGCTGAAACACAGTCAAAGCTCTCAGGAGGCTTCAACAGGCACCAACAGGCACAGAGACAGTCTTTCTTTAAAAAAAAAAAAATTTATTACTTTTATAGATTACAAAAAGAGAGAAATAAAAAAGCAAAAGAGAAAAAACAGAAGAAAAAACAGAGAAAAAAAACAAATAGAAGAAGGAAAAAAAAAATACAATACAATATATAAACAATACAAAACACAACCTAAACTCAAAACTAAACACATTAAGCTAAACTAAACAAACCCCACTCCCCAAAACAAAAACAATTTAAAAACATACATCCTCTCTTTCCCATACTCTTTCATTCCCTTGTTTCCTCGACCTCCTCACACCTCCCTTTTTGTGTTCTGCTTCTATTAATTGTTTCAGCAAATCCTTTCCATCTTTCTCCATTTTCTGTGATACTGTAAATAACGTATTATTTTAACCTTATTTTCCATTAAAACGAAATTACTTATATGTACTTAACTCCTTATAACATTTCTATTAAGCCCATAAAAAATAAAAAATAAAAAATCATTCCACCATTTTTCTATCACTCATTAGTTTTACCATAAGTCTATATAAAAAGTTTAAATTTTCCAATCTTCTTCCACCCTCTCTTCTCCCAGGTTTCGGATTCTGCCAGTCCTTTCCGTCAATTCCATAAAGTCCATCAACCTGGTGACCTTATGTCCAGGCTCTTAACTCTTTTCCAAGTCCCTTCTGCAGGTCTTCTTCATTTTCTTTAATGCTAAAGAGCCAATCTCGGGGAAATTCCAACCTGAGATAGTCTTTCAATACAGGAAGAGGCTGGAGCTGATTCAATAAGTCTGAAGTTGGTGAATGGGAGGGCTGCTAGACAGAAAGCAAAACAGTCGGAAGGGGCAATGGTTCAATATATTCTGTAGGAACTGGAAGGAGTCTTCAGAAGGGTCCTCTTGAGTGATAATGTCGGCAGTAAGTAGGTCAGGTGAGCCAAAGCACAGAATGAGGTCAGGCTTGCAAGAGAACTTAAAGCTATTCTTTTTAATTAAAAAAAAAATCTGCAATGTTTGAAGCAAGAGGAAAAACAAGCAAGTAGCAGGTCCTCTGTGAGGAGAAAATGGAGAAATGCTGTTGGGTGACAGAGAAGGTGTAACTGCACAACACCTACTTTGCCCCTGTCTTCACTCAGAAGGAAAGCAGCACCCAACCTGGTGATAACATAATAATAAATGATGCAAGTCCAAGATAGGAAAATAAATGGTTTGGGACCATGTAGCTACTTTAAATGAATTCACATCTTCAGGGCCTGATGAGCTGCATCCAATGGTTCTAAAAGAGTTTTCAGATGTAACCTCAGAGCCTTTGTCTATAATCTTTGAGAATTCTGGGATAACAGGTGAGTTCCCTACAAACTGGAGGCGGGCAAATGTTGTCCCCATCTTCAAAAAGGAGAAAAAAGAAGACCCAGGTGCCTATCAACTGGTCAAGGTGGTGGATTCTCATTCCTTGGAGGTTTTTAAACAGCTTGGATGGTCATTTCTTTCTTCTTTTTCCTCCTGTGTTGAGGCTGCATTTTAATACATTAATTTTTCAATATTTTAATGTTGTATTTTAACCTTGTTTTTAAGTTGTATTCATTCAACTTGTTTTTATTAATGCTTGTTAGCCACCCTGAGCCCGGCCTTGGCTGGGGAGGGCAGAGTATAAATAATAATAATAATAATAATAATTATTATTATTATTATTATTATTATTATTATATCTGTCATGGATGTTTCAGTTGAGATTCCTGCATTGCAGGGGGCTGGACTAGATGATCATTAGGGTCCCTTCCAACTCTACAATTCTAAGATTCTATGCTTCTATGTACTATTCAAAATGATGTTAGAGCATAGCAGATGTCATAGTTAATAACATAACATTTCTCCTACCTTCTTAAATAGCTTGGGCCAGACAATTGCTTCTGGGTTAATGGTGAACTTCAGATTTGAGGACCCTTGTCTCTCTATTCTTCCAATTTTCACTCTAGCAAGAGAGTTATTAGGAAACAGCACCAGATTCACAATATCAAAGTCAATGGCCAGTGCCCCATTCTCATCCAAGTACTGTCCGTCAGCTGAAGTGTTAGAATAGAACTGGACTTCTTTCAAGAATGGATGAAGCTGTAATGACAGAGGAGTTTCCAGCACCAAGAGAACATCAAACCATGTTCAGCCCTTCTTACTCTGCTTTCTAAACTTCTCTGAACAAGAACCACTGTCTCTCTCATCTGGACTTGTAGTGACCATTCTAGATTGTTAGGTCCCCGCATTCTGCTTCAGAATTTTGAGGATGACCAAAGTTAGCATAATTACATATATTAGGAAAGGTTGATTACAGTGTTTAGAAAATATGTAAAGAATGACGAAGATGGCTTTATTAAAAGTTTGCAAGCATATTGATTAATGATAGTCTAAAATGGTAGTGCTTGCATGAGTGTGGTGTAGTGGTTAAGAGCGGTAGACTCGTAATCTGGGGAACCGGGTTCGTGTCTCCGCTCCTCCACATGCAGCTGCTGGGTGACCTTGGGCCAGTCACACTTCTTTGAAGTCTCTCAGCCTCACTCACCTCACAGAGTGTTTGTTATGGGGGAGGAAGGGAAAGGAGAATGTTAGCTGCTTTGAGACTCCTTCAGGTAGTGATCAAGCAGCATATCAAATCCAAACTCTTCTTCTTCTTCACTGAAGTATTTTCCTCTAGTCCTAGCCTGCTTATTAAATTCTGTAAAAAGTCAGCTCCAATATCCATATTAGATCTAGATTCTGCATATTGTGACATTTCAAAACTGCCCTGATTTGGGAACCTTTCTGAATTGCCACGCTATGCAGTGTATGAGGCTGATAATAAGTAGATAATTTCTGAATTAGAGTTTCATTCCAACTAGCTCTACAGCTCTCTCTATGTTGAGCTGACTTTGAAGTCTGTCTGTAGGTTGCTGTCTGCAAGTCTGCAGGAATATAGCACTGAATCTGTGAACCTGGCTTCCTGTACAATGATGGGCCATTTCTGTTGTGTCCCACCTTCAACTCTAGGAGGATTCCTGTCCCCTAGGAACCTGGATCGGAAAAACACTCATTTCTGCCAGCTGGTGAAAAAAACGTTATTGTATTATTTTAACATTGTATTGTATTTTCTGTTCATTGCATTTGCATGAAAAACACCCTGGGGTCATGTTGATGTGATGAAGGGTGGCTTATAAATTTGTATGAATAAATGAATAAAATGCATCACTGCAATGCTTAACTCTGAATGCAAATTGATGAGTGAAGAAGGGTAGCCCAATTCTCAGAGCATCTTTTTTTGCACACCAAAGGTCCCAGCTTCAATCCCCAATTGCATCTCCAGGGTGAGGAGAGCGGGGAAAGATACCCTTCCAGAAACAGTAGAGAACCACTGCTAGTCAGTCAATGTAGACAGTGCTAAGCTAGAGAGGCCAATGGTCTGACTCAGTGCAAGACAGTTTCCCCATGATCCTATCATGGTGATTCCAGAGCTGGGACAACAAATTGCAGGTTGCAAAAGGAAAAGGACATACCTGCCATGGCTCTAGCCTTGGAAGGTCCAAGCTGCCTCCTCCACCCACAATCGACATCCTCTTTGACCTGGAAGAATATGCAGCATTCAAGGCCTGTGCCACAGTTTGGATACTAAAGTAATTCACGTAGCTGTCTTGGGACAGGATTCTTTCATTCTCTTCTTGGGGCAACATCTCCAGATTCTCCTTCTCCCTGCACTTTGTCAAACTCCTCACAGATAAGGCATGTTTTGGATATGAACAATCAAATGCTTTTCTCGAATAGCTTAGACTGGCTGAAGACGTTGGCCAGTAGTAGTCCTTTTTCATCCTTTTTTTGGTCTTCATTACAAAGGACAAAGAGCCATGGGCATATTGAAAGCAGGCATTATCAAGTAACAACATTTTGTTCTGAAGACCTGTGGTTATCCAGACTTTCCCCTCAGTTTGTATCCTTTCCAGTAAGGATTGTACCTCTATGATTATAAAAAGTCCATATTGAGAGTCTGCAGAGTAAACAAATACATTGACTTGTCTCCACATGGCAGGTGGTTCTTGGGGTGCCCACAGCCAAGTTTTATGTACTACTCTTTTTGCGAAGGCAACACAGATTTCCTTTTCCATCATCAGAGGTGTCAAGGTACTCAGGAATCTTTCTCCATTGTCATTGTCTGGAACAAAGAGGCCGACCCATGTCCACCTGAAATGCAGGAGGAGTTGCACCACTCCTTGGTATTGAATTTCTTCCTTGGGAGCCATTTGGTAGACAAAAGGGGACTGGACTTTATCTTTTCTTTATTTATTTATTGCATTAGCCGAGTGGCCATAGCATGATATACATTGAAATAACAACATAAAATGGGGGTGGGGAGGTAGAGGTAGACATCGTCCTGGGCGAATACTTAAAGAAAGTGGGGGAAAAAAAAAAAAAAAAAAAGCTGCTGAGGCTGGAGGAGGACTGTTAAAGGGTCCTTCAGCTCCTCAGATTAGTCCTAACTCAATTGTCCTTGTACAATAAGGCTACTTGGAACTTCGCTCGGTTGTGCGGCGATCGACTGCATCTGTGGTGTTAAGGAAGAAGTTAGTGCCGCTTTCCTCTTCATCACACTAAGCAGGAAATTAGCTGTCATCTCAGTAATCCAACAATCAGAATCCTGCAAAAAGAGGGACACTATCCAAGGCTGGATTGGGAGATGGAACTTATTCACGAGGGGAGTTAAAAACCGAGATCTTTCATCTGTCCAGTTGGGACAGAAGAGCATTACATGTTCCATAGTCTCCAGGGCCGTGTCATTACAGGAGCATGTTCTGTTTGCGATGGGAACTCTGGAATAACGACCCGACAGAACTGCTGTAGGAAAACAGTTGAGACGGGCACAGGAAAAGCCCTTCGCTTAGTCTCCGAAGAAATTGTGAAGCAGTATAGAGGGATCCCTTCAGGGGGTGGAATAGCTAGGGCTAGGCCTGAACACGGTCCTCTTGCACAAGAAGCTGTGTTGGAGAAGTCAAGTTGCTGTAGTTTCTTTTTAATTAGGGGTAGGGCCACCGGGCTGATACACTCTAAGTTAAGAACAGTTTTACAATTCAGATTGAGAAGAGAGCGGAATTTGAGGTTAATTGTAGTTTTCCAAGGGGAATTATGAATATCTCTTAGGATCAGATTGGAAAAGCCACCTCTGATCTCGAGCATCCGATGCTAATAGGTGGAGGGTGTAGGAAATGGCTCGGCTCCATGCTCGTCTAGCAATTGAAGGCTGGGCGAACTCGAGTCGTAGGGCTGCACCTGAGACACATCTCGGGACGCCGGAAAGAGATCTCAGAAACATATGAAGTGGACGATCCAGGTTACCTGATATTGCTGTAGTCCATACTTCACATCCATATAATAATTTAGGGACGACTTTGGCATTAAATATTTGAATTGCTGCTGGAAGGTGTTTGCCGCCCTTCTGGTGGTAAAATCGGACAATGGCGTTAGAGGTCGTGGTTGCAGCGAGAAAGGCAGATTGTAGATGGGTGGTCCAGGAGAGATTATAGGTGAATATTAATCCTAAATATTTAAAGGCTTTTACCTTTTCTAAGTAGCCACCTATGATCTTAAGCGGCTCCAACTGGAGTTTGCGGGATCGAGTGAAGAGGAGGAATTTCGATTGTTTATCATTAATATTAAGAGCTTCCGCCTTACAATAGGCGGTAAATGCATTAACTGCATTTGCTAGATCCGCAGCTGTTCTGGATAAGATGACGGCATCATCAGCATAGAAAAGGGAAGCAACGGGGTGGCCTGCTAAGTGAGGAGGATACTTAGATGCTAGCTTCAAAGTGGAAATTGCATCATGAAGATAGAGATTAAACAGTAAAGGGGCCAAGAGGCAACCTTGACGGACGCCCTTGGCCGTTGGAAATGGAGTAGTGGGGAGCCGTTTGGACTAGTTCGGACGCGAGCTGTGGTGTTTGAATAAAGGGAGATAATTAGGGAGAGAAGGTGCGGATCAATTCCCAGATGGGCAAGTTTGGACCATAATCTCTGCCTAGGAATGGAATCAAAGGCGGCCTCCAGGTCCATGAAAGCGGCAAATAGGTGGCCTTGCCTTGGAGCAGTGTATTTACTGGCAAGGTGAAAGAGAGTTAGACAATGGTCCATGGTTGACGCTGACTTTCGGAAACCAATCTGTTCTAGCGGTAGAATGTTCCTCTCCTGGACCCATGAGAGAAGTTCCTCCAGTAAAACAGCGGCAAATATTTTTCCCCGGGATGGATAATAAGCTGATGGGGCGATAGTTCCTAGGGATGTTTGGCTGGCTGCCTTTGAAGATCAGAACTATTATAGCTTCTCTCCAGGAGTCGGGGATGTCTAGGGCGGAGGAGATAGCGGTGAATACAGGAGTCAGGTGTTCGCTCCACCAAAGAGGATCAGTCAGGAGAAGGTCCAACGGGACCATGTCCGGGCCGGGGGCCTTATTCCTTTGCATTGACATTATGATGTTGAAAATGCGAGTTGAAGTAAAGTTTATTGAAGAAGTGGGACTAAGAGAGCAGGAACTGAGGTCCAGTGGGGATTGGAGGAGATCTGTAAGATGGTTTGGAGAAGCGAAACTAGTTGAATAATAAGCAATCCATTCATCCGCGGAAATCTGGGTAGCTGGATTGAATGGTGCCGAAGGTCTAACTAGGCGCCAGAAGGAGCGGGAGTCATGCCTCTCTACAGCCGAACGAAGAGTGGACCAAGCCTCAAAGATGTACTGCTGTTTCTTGCAATGAATCATGTTTCTATATGTCCTTTTAATATCTATGAGCTTTGCACGGGTTTGGGGGTCGTTGGAAGATTTGATGATTCTGACCATTTTCCTAATTCGCCTTCTTAGGGCTTTACATTCCTTGTCAAACCAGGGCGATTCAGAGAAGAGGCGTTGGTAAGTAGGCGAGGTGGTGGTTATGTAAGTTGTTGAAAAAGCATCAAGTAATTTCCGGTATTGGTCAGCGGGCAGGATTGGATCAGAGGGAACTGCAGACATATCAAGTGATTTTTGTATGTCCAGGGCAAGAGAGGAGCTGAGGCTTGTCCATTTCTTTGTTTTGTATACAGGGTGGCTTTGTACCATGGTTCTATAGTTTGAGGAGACTGGGAGTGGCTCTATTAGGTTTAACAAAGCCATAACTGAACTGGAAAGTAAATGAAAAGAAATGGATGCTTTGTTTTTCAGGACCCAGACTGGATACTTCTATGCAAATGATGACAAATTTAGTTAGTGCAACCTCAGAAGGTTTCTTTTTCTTTGAAATAAAATAGTTTTTTAATACAGTCTTTTTCTTTTTAATTCCCTACCCTACCCAGAACTCCAGTGTCCAGGTTTGCTGCTGTAAATCAGTGAGGGGTAGCTCCTCCTCCAGCGATGGCCTCTCTTGCAATCAATCAATGCTCAGTAGTCGAGCATTTATTTCACATGCAGAAAATACCCATTTATTTATTAAAAAAATTCTATATGGCTTTTCACTTCACGGAAAGCAATGTTTCAAAGTTGTGTATGATGTGACTTCCAGTTTCCTGCCAACTTGAAAAGCAGTGCAGTGCCGATCATCCGATCAGCCCGGAGTTTGCAGAGGGTTCAGGGCGCCCCCTCAAAAAGTGTTGCCAGGGTAGGCAACTCCAGGTTGATGGAAACCTGGTGTATATGAACAAAATGGTCCCCCACGTCTTTTGCAAAAACACCAGAAATAAAAATTTCTGACAAGCGCCTTAACCAGAATAAACATAAAAATCAGACTGGAGTTCCCAGAAGGAATCTCTTTTACATACAAGAAACAAAGACGTAGACTGACAAGTGAGAAGCAGGTGCAAGAATTTTGGTTAAGATATGGCAGAGATTTTGACAACACACGCATACCACCCGAACTGTGAGGAGTGACCAGAGGTGTGGAAGAGAGAGCAACAGGTGTGTGGGGGGGAACAGGGAGGAATTAGATATTTTAGATAATCAAGACAAAGAAAAGACAAGACTTTAGGAAAAAACAAAACAGGAAAGGGAAACAAAGAGCAGATTTTAAAATGTGCAGTTGGAATGTAAATGGTTTGAATAATAAAACCAAAAGATATAAAATTGAACATATAATGGTAAAAGAGAACTCAGATGTAATATGCTTACAAGAGATCCATATTGCAAAAAGGCATAGAAGAGTCCTAATTAATAAAAATTTGGGAATAGAGTTCATCACAGCAGACAAATCAAAACAGAGAGGTGTTGTCATTTTTGTAAAACCAAAAATTGAGCCTAAATTAATCTTAAAAGATGATCTAGGAAGAGTGTAGTGCAGATAATAATAATAATAATAATAATAATAATAATAATAATAATTTATTTGTACCCCGCCCATCTGGCTGGGTTTCCCCAGCCACTCTAGGCGGCTTCCATAGAAACCAAAAATACAGTAAAATATCACAGATTAAAAACTTCCCTGAACAGGGCTGCCTTAAGATGTCTTCTAAATGTCAGGTAGTTATTTATCGCTTTGACATCTGATGGGAGGGCGTTCCACAGGGCGGGCGCCACTACCGAGAAGGCCCTCTGCCTGGTTCCCTGTAGCTTTGCTTCTCGCAATGAGGGAACCGCCAGAAGGCCCTCGGCGCTGGACCTCAATTTCCGGGCAGAATGATGGGGGTGGAGACGCTCCTTCAGGTATACTGGGCCAAGGCCGTTTAGGGCTTTAAAGGTCAGCACCAACACTTTGAATTGTGCTCGGAAACGTACTGGGAGCCAATGTAGGTCTTTCAAGACCGGTGTTATGTGGTCTCGGCGGCCGCCCACAGTCACCAGTCTAGCTGCCGCATTCTGGATTAGTTGTAGTTTCCGAGTCACCTTCAAAGGTAGCCCCACGTAGAGCGCATTGCAGTAGTCCAAGCGGGAGATAACTAGAGCATGCACCACTCTGGCGAGACAGTCCGTGGGCAGGTAGGGTCTCAGCCTGCGTACCAGGTGGAGTTGGTAGACAGCTGCCCTGGATACAGAATTGACCTGCGCCTCCATGGACAGCTGTGAGTCCAAAATGACTCCCAGGCTGCGCGCCTGGTCCTTCAGGGGCACAGTTACCCTATTCAGGACCAGGGAGTCCTCCACACCAGCCCGCCCCCGTCCCCCAAAACAATACTTCTGTCTTGTCAGGATTCAACTTCAATCCATTAGCCGCCATCCATCCTCCAACCGCCTCCAGGCACTCACACAGGACCTTCACCGCCTTCACTGGTTCTGATTTGAAAGAGAGGTAGAGCTGGGTATCATCT